GTCATTTTAAGACATCTGTATAAATCATTCTGAAAACTATCGTAGGTTTATCTTGAAAATAATATTCTAATGTACATGATAAATAATCGGTAATAAATCTATTTAGGAAAAACGAATGGTCAGAGTAGTGTTCACACGATTGATAGTCCAATATTGGAATAACCAATTTTTCAATGCAATCTTTTAATTGAAAATATCATTGTACATTCGATTGATGCTGTCAAATAGTCCAATGGTAATCCTTACCTTTTGTGTAAACGCTAGCCAATAGAAGTATCTCTTTAAAAAACTTTATTTGAATACCTGTAATCTTTAAAAATATATAACTTGACAGTAGATATATGATAAAACATGTTGTTTTACAATCCTTTGGTAGATTAATAATTTTATTAGTCTTCAATGTTTGTTGAAGTATTTTTTGACACCAGAAAGGTTATAGATGATTTTATTGTAGTGATAAGACACTGGTCTGGATACACTAGAAGTGTTTTTAGACGTGAAACAGGTGTTGTCAAGTATCTGATGTAAGAATTTATTACAATATGATTGAACACTCTAATATCTATATTATATTATATATTTCTTCAAGATGACAATAACCTACAGGTGTTCTTATCAATTTATAGTTAGAATAGACAGGACAGGACAAGACAGAAATTTAGGGGACCAACATTACAGAAGTTTAGGGAGACAGACATCTTGACAGGGATTGATGGCATTGACAGAAGACATTGCTCAAAAAATCAGAAGACAAATGCTCAAAAAACAATCAAGATCTCTGAGTAGTAATTATGTTATAACTTATTAATTACATTAATCATGAAATTTTACTATTTGAAAAGTTTCATTAATCAACAAACAGAATAGAGCTATAATAATAACAGAAATTTCTACTGTAAGATATATAAATCTAGAAACCCTATTTTAATACAATGTTGATGATATAGGATCTATTGACCCAGTAAACACATCCTGTAGTGATCTAGATATTTATTACCAACACAATCCTCATCAGGACACCTAGTTTTATTAACTCTCAAAAATCAGACATTAGACGTGTGAACAAAGTAAGTAAATTCACAAGTGGTCCGATATCTCAAAATTTATAATCTATTGGTCCAATAAATTTCACATGAAATAAACAGTTAAAAAAATTTGATTTTAAAGCTACCATGTTTGTGAGGTCTAACAAATTTAACAAAGGCTCATTAAAAGGCAAAAATATTTTATTTTGCTTTATATATTCTATTTGAAAGTACAAGAGAAACACACAACATAAATATTCAATTGAAATTTGACGTGGAAAGCCTGAATATAATAAATAATACAGAACGCATTAAATATATTCCAAGCTTGGTCTCTTTAAATACCAAATATTAATATTCAAACCACATTTCTACCATTGTTCAAAGAACGATGTCTATTTTCAAGATGTCTGTAATTACTAGTTGTGATTTGATACAGTGCAGTTGACACCTCGTTTACTCAAACTAAACTAGAAAATTATCAGCTGAAAATTGGCGGAAATGTGTGAGATATGAATTGCTATTGTCCTGTCCTGGATAATTTGTCCATGCTGGTGAACAATAGGTCTGATTGACTGACCGACTGACAGGCCACTCTCTGACCACTCGCTGTAGTTCAAGTAGACATCTAACACTAGAGAACAGTGATCAGATTGAATTGAAAGTAAACAGAAATCTCCGCTTCATCTTGGGTTTCTATCAAGTGTTGTAAAAAGAGTAAGCACTTCAAGTTTCTAGATGATAATGGCTGAATTAATTGCTCTACTGCTGTTGTTGATATTCCAATAAAGCCCTGTACACACTGCAGTAGATGAAAAGTAGAATTGATTACTGCAGGCCTACTGTTAGGTTGATATTCCATTCAAGCTCTGTACACACTGCTGTAGATATTAATGATTATGATTGGTTTGATTTAAATTTATTGAGGCCCAATACACATTGGAGTGAAAAGAAGAATTCACTTTTCTACTGACGACTGTGTTTAGATCTGTTTCTATGGTTGTAGGTTGATATTTATTAGCCCTATACACTTTTAATATTGGTAAAACAAACGATTCTGTGTTCATTTCATTAAAAATTCTTTCAAGATTATTTTTGTAGTTTAAAACGAAGATTTGAGAAAATATAGTTTTAATGTAAAATGTAACAATCTGATGATATATATTTAAATTTTCTCTGGTCTGATTTAACCAAGATAAATTGTCTTTAAATCAACACGGAGGTAACGATTGTTAAATAAACCAGTAATGAGTTTTAAGATTATTAACTATTTTGTATGAAGGCCAGGTTTTTAGTTGAGTCGTTTATTGTATTCCACAGTAACTAGGTAAATATCACTGTCTATTGATGATCGTGTTTTGTACGAACGTGGCCCTTCAATTCACCAACAATACAAGTGAACTTCGTCCATTTTCTTTCATTTCATTCTTTCACCAACATCAAATAATTTTTATACAAAACCTCGAAAACTGATACATGAAATAAATGACGTAATTAACTTAAATAAATTTACTTTGTGATACTTTGTTGTATTATATCATCCCTTCGTGTTGTCACGGAAACCTCGTTAGGCCTTCCTAATTGGTCATCTTAAAAGTTTGCATTGATTTGTCACATAATATCTTTTGTCAGGTGGAAAAATGATTTTCTGTTGGTAAATTTTAATTGTTGAAATCCAAGACTATTTTTGCTCATTATAACATGATTAACATTATAATTGTAATGAAAGTTTTTTTGATACGTTTTCACTTTTAACAGTTCAAGGCGTTCTTCTCAGTGATATCGTGACTTTAAGATAATCCTGAACAACCATGACTAAGAACACTGATTGGTTAATATTGCTAATCAGCTGATGATATTAACCAATTAGAATTCTTCATAGATATTAGGACAGGGGAAATTAGACTTTTTCTAACTATCAGCTCAGCCTCGAGTAATTTTTTTCTACTTGATAGATATTGAAATATGGAAGGTCGGGCTTTTTTCAACAATCAGTTTTTTTGAGTAATTTTTTCGAGATGATTTGAATTCTGTTTTGCTAACTGACACATATTCTAACCTATAGTCTGCAAGATATAAACAAAATTTGATATATTGAGCCAATTCTGACATTGTAAGTTTAAGACATTATAGTTTTCGTGCTAGATATTGTACACAAGCCTGCCTCTTTAAGACTTTACAATGGAGATCAAAACCCTTTCAAAATTCCTTTTATGACAAATTGACAGTAGATAACATAGACAATCTTATCTGACTGTAAGATGACCCACATTTTAAAAAGGGGCCACTTCAATGGGGGTAAGGGTTTGTTGAATTTATAAAGTGATAAGGGGTAATGTTTCTTATCTTGTTTAATCGAAGGGGGGTAGAGAAATGAAGGGACACTGATTTTATTGTTCAATTTATCGTCAACTTTTCAGTTTTAAAATCTGTACCATATTTAATATTATAAAACTATAAAAATATCATTTCCACGTTCTTTTGGGTGTATTTTTCCTCATTGCCTACTTTCATGTGTTCAATCAGTTGAGAAAAATTATACAAAAAATTCAAAATGATTAGGACAACATCGAGGGTGAACACATGTTAATAAGCCAGTCTACAGGTTGTAAAGGTGCTACTGAGCCAACCTATAGGGTATAAAGATAAGAAGTATCTAAGAGTTTTACAGATAAGTAGCCAATCTAGAGGATGAAAGGTGATTCTGAGCCAGCATATAGGGTGCAAATATAAGAAGTATCTAAGAGTTGTACAGAATAGTAGTCAATCTAAAGGATGTAAAGGTGTTAAGCCAACCTACAGGTTGTAAAGATGATCTTAAGCCAACCTAGAGAGTGTATAGATAAGGGTTTATTACCAACAGTAAGGTAGTTGAGTGTATGACAGTGAATGTTTAAATAGATTCAATATTTTGTTTGTAGTATTAGTAGTAATATTGACTTAGTAATATGACTATTTCTAGCTTTATTCACAAAATATTACCTACATTGATAGAAACATAAGACAGGCTCTTACTTACAAATACTCACAAAATATTACCTACATTGACAGAAACATAGGACAGGCTCTTACTTACAAATACTCACAAAATATTACCTACATTGATAGAAACATAGGACAGGCTCTTACTTACAAATACTCACAAAATATTACCTACATTGATAGAAACATAGGACAGGCTTTTACTTACAAATACTCACAAAATATTACCTACATTGATAGAAACATAAGACAGACTCTTACTTACAAATACTCACAAAATATTACCTACATTGATAGAAACATAAGACAGGCTCTTACTTACAAATACTCACAAAATATTACCTACATTGATAGAAACATAAGACAGGCTCTTACTTACAAATACTCACAAAATATTACCTACATTGATAGAAACATAAGACAGGCTTTTACTTACAAATACTCACAAAATATTACCTACATTGATAGAAACATAAGACAGGCTTTTACTTACAAATACTCACAAAATATTACCTACATTGATAGAAACATAAGACAGGCTCTTACTTACAAATACTCACAAAATATTACCTACATTGATAGAAACATAGGACAGGCTTTTACTTACAAATACTCACAAAATATTACCTACATTGACAGAAACATAGGACAGGCTCTTACTTACAAATACTCACAAAATATTACCTACATTGATAGAAACATAAGACAGGCTCTTACTTACAAATACTCACAAAATATTACCTACATTGATAGAAACATAGGACAGGCTCTTACTTAAAAATACTCACAAAATATTACCTACATTGATAGAAACATAAGACAGGCTCTTACTTACAAATACTCACAAAATATTACCTACATTGATAGAAACATAAGACAGGCTTTTTACTTACAAATACTCACAAAATATTACCTACATTGATAGAAACATAGGAC